CATTCTGGAGCCCTTGCTTCCATATTGATCAGCACCACATCCTCGTTCAAGCGTTCAGATAGGCGTTCGGCTACCAATCACCACCGGCCACGTCAGGAGACAGCAGAGCCGTTATCGGGGTATCGACGGAGCAAGTAAGCCACGACCGCTCCTTGCAGCTCGTGGGGTGCGACCTCTGGTTTTGATTGGCGGGTCGACACGCTCACCGGTCTTGCTTCATGGGTTTTCGCCCCACCCCTTGTCACGCTCTGTGGACGACTCGCTTGTTCCGACGTTCTCTAGCGTCTTTTCGATTGCACTCCAGATGCTCTTCGATGCTCAACAAAGTTCAACAATGAACAATCGAAGTGAGGGGTTCATTGTTCGGTTGAGATGACTACCCGTTTTGCCGGCAACAAACATCCTCTAGAAGCGAAACCTACACCGCTCTTCTATTCTTGTACCTCGGATCTTCAATGGAAGGTTGAAGCAATCTAAAAGCTTGCTGGCGAGCTAGGGTGAAGTAGACGGCCGTGCTCCCCCCGCTGCGCCGCACGCTCACTGTATGTATGTACTTCTAAAGTGCCGGCAGCGACGCAGACGTTTTGAAGTCGTCACTTGAGTCAGAAAGTCGCCGGTGGGCACACATGTCGACTTCCGCCTCCATGCAGCATCTCAACGGCAGCCAAAGCAGGCTGCCATCTCGCAGCAGAGTCGCTTGTGGCTAGGGCGGTGCATGATCCGCACGACATACCTACATGCGTCGATTGTATGTCTTGCCACAATTCAGGGTACACTGCAGTCTGCCCCACGCTATGAAGCGGATTACATACGATGATCAAGAACCTTGGAATGACTCGAATTGAGGAACATACGTTCTAAGAAGGGTCTCAGCGCAACTATGCATAGGCGGCGATGGATTTCCATGGGTGCATTCAGCCTACCGCGACGTCCTTGCTGTACTGACGGTCGGACCCAGCTGTATGGACACATAGCGACCCGGTATACTACTGCAGAACGCGGCTGTACCGGTATCGACGCTCCATACATCGACTCATCTTTATCCAAAGACGTACTTTCGCCGGGCAACAGGCGAACAGATAACGCGTGCAAGCGCTATTGCGCTATCTACTGGAAACACGCCACCTTCGATATCTTCTCGATACTACACCGGCTCGCTAGGGAAAGCAAAGTGCGTTACCCGCGTCCTTGGTAGTGGGCGGCTGGATAAATCACCACAGTCGCTTAAAGGCATGGTCAATATACCTCAGTGCGTCGGTAATATGACGGCATTCTAGAGCTCCCATCCGAGGGTCTCTACACAGGACCGAGAGCATCGCGCGATATTCTACCACCTACGCCTTCCCTTCTAGCCTTCGAATCGTCTAGTGTGTTTCGATAGGTAATCAAAATCATGACTACCGGGTCGTGCTGTCGTATCCGAGCAAAGCAAAAACACTTCGAGCCGAGCTGGTTTTGGCCGAACCTCTAATCCGTGGCTATGCGAACGGACTACTCACCGAATGTAACGGGCTATGACGCCTAGGCCCGGGCTATACACGCCAAAGCGTTGCTAAAAGCTAGATACGCGTCAACGGTGGTCCACACACAGGATGCTCGAGCTCTTCCATCGCTATCCGAATACACCGAGGAGAACGTGCTCAGCCAGCCATCCCGGGATACGCCGGGGTGGCTGGGAAACATGGGCTGATCTGGTAGGAAAATCTCTGCATGCATCGCGGGCCGAGAGAACTCGCGCATTGATCGTGTTGCAGTCCAGCGTCGTAGTTCATTTAGTCATGTTGAAGTTGCTTGAGTTTTGCTGCGCCTGCCTTGTGGCTGGGTTCGCATTATGCGAACCACGGTACCAGGTGTCATAGCGTGGTGCTACCTTTCAGCACGCATGTATACTTACGTCTACACACCCTGCAACCACCAATACTAGGTCTTTGCCTTCTGACCCCGCATCGCAGACGGCAATGTCGGGTGTCGACCACCGACTTGCTCCCCACGCGTACCTACAGTTCTGCCTCAATGTACATGCAGCATGCGCATATCCACGCATTGGGTCCCATTGCCTTGCCTTTGTTGACATCAACGATATGGAATAACTGTGGAAACAACATCACTGTTACTGTTGACGACTGCATTCCAATTCGCGGGAAAGTTGACAATCCCCCGACACGCTCGGCTCCGTTGCGCCTCTCATCGCGACATCATCATTCAACGCGACCGGCTAATGCTTCTCCCCAACCCACTCCGAATCACACATACCTACCAGATCCATGAAACAAGCCAGGCTAAAGCCTGAAACATACAAGTTTGCTACTACGGTAAAACCAGCAAAATACCCATCCGCAATCTCCTGCGAACACATGTTGTAGATCAAACATTCAATGTTGCAAGTGTCCACGATGCCATGTTCAACCCAAGACGGACGCATCCCTCCTGTCGAGTAATTGACGTGCGTCGCGGGTCGGCTCTGCATGTTTTGACACGTTCGGTATCTTTGACCCTGCATTGCAGACGTGCCTCGGCGAGGCGTGCATGCGCAGGCTTGCTCGTGTCTCAGATGTGGCAGGATTGTACTGCTGCAACCTTGCTCGTGGAGGTTGTGATGTAGAGTAGGATGACATCACGTGCGTGATATGCGCCTGCATGCGCGCTGCGCGTGCGCATTGCGTTTTCATGCCTCTATTGCTATGCCGTCTGATGGTTCGTATCTTCGCATAAGTGAAAAGTCGATAGTCGAATGAAGCCGACTTTTTGACATCCATTCGTTGAACATCAAGTTGCGCCTGTCTCAATAAGCACGATGCATGTGTGACCCCGCGTGATGTGCAATCTCAGCGCGCAGACACCTAGATCACATATATCCAATGTCTTCTCAATTCTAGCTACACCAAGGTGCCCGTAGTCAATCAGAGTTTCACATCATCGACCAAATCCTGCTAAGATGATCATCGCAACGATACTGTGCCTCTTCGCTCACGTCTTTGTCACATATCCGCTGTACCAACTCTATCGCAATTATGTGTCCGCACGCAAGTCTGGCTTGCGCATCATCATAAGTCCTGTTACCCCATACACTCTACAATGGCAGCTGGCAGCCAGCCTATTCCGAACGCACCTAGAAGGATATCGGTGGTTCAGGGCCATTGACTGGACATGCTGCTGGCAAGATAACGACAAGTTACATCAAGAACTTGGTCTTTGCTTCATTGTGGTGGCGCCAGGGCATAATGTGCTATGTACTAGTGACCCGAAAACGATTGATCATGTACTCAAGGATTGGAAGGGTTATGTAAAGCCTGATAATGTGAACGGTGAGTCCGACCATATGTGAGAGGACACTGGAAGCGGTAACTGACTATGGCTGTAGAGATATTGGGCACGTTTGGGCAAAACGTTGACACGGTATGTGCCATATGCTCTGGACACTCGCAGTTTATCTCATCTTCTTCGTACTCAGGACCGTAAAAGCTAATTCAGAAAGTCAAATGGCGATGATTGGATCCGTCATCGCAAACTCACAGCGCCATGCTTCAACGAGCGAGCCTCAGCCACGGTATGGAACGAAGCTCTGCAACAGTCGAAAAACATGATCGAGCGTTGGCTCTCATCACCCGACGGAAGGACGAACAGTATGAGCAAGAATACCAGTACACTGGCGCTCAACGTCATCTCGTCAGTCGCTTTCGAGAACACAGAAGTCAATGAAGCGACACCAGGTCACACACTGTCACTTCGCGACGCACTAGTAACGGTGATGAGCACTTCAATCTCACCGGCTATAGAGGGCATCATGCCACTCTTCAAGCTCCCCGTACTCGAATCGCTGCTTCCAACTAGTACCAAGAGACTGTTGCTCGCCATGCGTGAGTTCCGGCAGTACATGGACGAAACCGTCGTGAAAGAGCGATCAAAAGTGGCCAGCGGGCAATCCAAAGCTGCTACACTCATTAGCACACTGATCAAGGCCAACGACGAAGTCAAGACTGAAAATCGAGTGTCGAAGTCCAAGCTCTCGGATATTGAGCTCAGAGGCAATATCTTTATCTTCACAGTTGGCGGACTGGAGTCTACGTCTATCACGCTATCATATGCATTGGCTTTACTGGCTGTGCACCCTGAGGTCCAAGACTGGGTAGTGGAAGAGCTGGATGAAGTTCTGAAAGACGAAGCAACTGATGACCCGGAGTATGCAAGAGTATTCCCGCGACTGAAGAGGGTAATGGCCGTCATGGTACGTCCTCGTTCTTCATAAACACGGGCCATCTACTATTGCGCGGAGCATGATCGCAGGCTAACAGAATTGCAAGTACGAAACGCTACGTCTCTACAGTCCTTCGCCGCCTCTTCCGCGTTCGCCCTTTCCTGCACATCCCCAGCGTACTATCCCACAGACCAGTTTAGATTCCAAGAAAGCCCATGAGAATATCGTCCTTCCGGCTAACACCCAAATCATGCTCAACTCATGGGCTTCTCATACCTCATCCGCCAACTTCCCCGATCCGCTTACTTGGAACCCGAAGCGCTGGATTCAGTCGCAATCCGTCGGCAGTAGCAAGGCAACTCTACCCGAGATACTATCTGATGAAGAGCTCAAGCACCCAACGAGTGGTAGTGGATTTTTCGCATGGGGTACTGGCCCGAGGATCTGCCCGGGAATGAAGTTTAGTAAGGTGGAGTTTTGCAGTGTATTGAGTAGCGTTCTGAATAGGATTAGGGTTGAAATGGTGTGTCAAGACGGCAAGAAGGTGGGGGTGGCTGGACAGAGAGTGATGAGTATCTTGCGGGACTCGTGTGCCGACCCGCTGCTACTTCATGTCAGACAGCCAGAGAAGTTGGAGTTGAGATTTCTCGAGCGCTGAGAATTATTGATATCAAAATTGGTCGCGGGCAGTAGGAGCATGGAAACTTCTCGTAGTGTTGCAGTGGTAATAACTGCCGAAGGCATATGCATTATTATCCCTAGATCACCCACGAATATACCATCTTGGATACGCTATGGTCCATATTCACTCTTGGAAACCCGACATTCGGCTCGGCGCCCGACTTCCAGCATCGGTAGACATATAAGGTACCCTTGGTGGCGGCGTATTCTTTTCCAGGAACGCAAAGATATCCTGTCCCACCTGTCGGCTGATCTTCCTGTACATGGATATCATGACATCCGTCCCCGCATCGTTCAGCTCATAGTCTGGTCCGCGACAGCCGGGTATAACTTTGCAGTGGGTCGCAGGCTTAGAATAACCTTGCGTGTGAAGGCAAAGCCAGGTGTGACAGAAGTAACACGCTGGCTTACTGCACCCGATATACTTGTCGTTCTCAACGAAATTGATGGCTTGGGACCTGGCGAACTTGTCGGCGATTTGGAGTTCGGCGTGCACTCTGGTAACTACCGTTTCTTTCGAGACCATGTGGTTGTAGATTGGTCTTAATGGTGATGGGTCCAAGTGATACAACTGAAGGAATGCTTGTTGAAACTTCAAAGGATCAATTGGTCTGGTCCCTTCGAGTACACCGTACAAAACTTCATGTGGAATCAAATGGACCGGTGAGACGGTCTTCTTCACGATCCGGGGTGTATTGACGATCATTATCTTTGATATCTTTCGGAGCGAAGGAACGAGCGTCATGGCTTCGACAACCTTGTTTGCGGCGTCACGTGTCGCGCCCAAGCGATAGACATGATGCGCCAATTGGCTAAAGCCATCTTCCGCAGTCTTGGAATATGATCTGATGGCCCGGATGTCTTCTCCTCTCATGTCGTAGCAAAGGTCGACATAGGCCTCCAGGTTCGTACTCGGTGGATGTTCAAGCAGCTGCCCCAATTTGGTTCTTAAGAGATTGACTTATGTAGTAAGCGCATATTCATAGCGTCGATATAGGAAACATACCAAAATCGTCTCTTTCAACGCCTTCGAGAGCCTCATTGCATTGTAGTGCGTCTCTCTTAATCGCATCTCTGTAGAAGTGGATCCTCGGTTTACACTTCTTCACACTGAGGGTTAAGATACGGTCTTGAACAACACGGACATTTTCCACAGTTGCAACTTTTGCGCGCTTCAGAATCTTCTGTGCATAGAACAAGACCTCTTCGCGTATTCCTTCGTTTGCAGCCAACCAGAGGCAGTCGCCACTTTCTACTTCCATCATTTGTAATGCAGTCGCTGTGACTGTCTTGCCGCCTTTCTCCACGTCACAAAGATAAGCGAAAGAATCCAAGAAGTCTCGCCGGGCTTCGCGTGTCTTATCACTGGACATTGCTCGTTGCTTTGGTCCGTCTTTGAATCTAGTAAGGGCTTCCAAAAGTACCAGACGGGGATATAGGACGGTGGACTCAAGCTTTGTGATTTTGGACTCCCTCTCTACCAGCTTCCGCGGTCCTGTGGGTGGTATCGAACTCGTTCCGGTAGACATGAGTTGAAGGGCTGTTCCATCAGCCATTGGCTGAGAGCGCGACTGGGCCATGGCGACGGCCAGAGAATGTGTGCTAAAGCTTAAGAAGGCGCTACTGTTGCCGAGCAGGTCCCAAAGTGAAAAGTAGCCAATATGAGATGATATGTATGAGACTCAAAGACTTTCTATCGGTTTCGATAATGTTCCTCAGACGTTACGGGAAGTGCACGTTTGTCCAATAGGAGCATAGTACACGTATACCTGCAGGTTGACCGGGGGTTGTCTGCACCGGCGCCTACAGGAAAGCGGGGAGGCTCGCATTGTTGCTGTTCTCGAAAGCTGTCTGATCGTTTCTTGTTTTCCTTCCAGATATCCCGGAGCCTCGTGCGGTGCGCGCATCGATCTGCTGATGTTTACTTGTATATGTGTAAACGCAATATGTATATCATATCGGGGCTATTCTTGAGATAACCAAGGATAGATAGAGATAGGAGGAAAAGATAAGGTAGGCATGTTGGTACCATGATATGTTGGGGCTAATCTTGAACCGAAATTCACGAGAGACATATCCATGTACGTAGTTCTAGTGGCCCGAAATCCTCCCAGCTAGAAAGCTACCTTCCTGCTAAGCTGCATAACGTGTAGTCTTCCTTTCCCGAAGTCTCCCACGCCATGCGCCTATATTGCGGCGTCTTTCCACCTCGGCTCGCGTCAACTCAGGTGCTCGCATCATAGTGGTCAATCGGCCCTCCATCTCTTTCTCGGTGAGTTCGCCTTCCACAAACTTCCAGGTATCTGTGACGACGACGTATTCGACCTTATCTTCGGTGCCGTGGTGAATCCAATTTTGTCCACCCAGCTTGCTTGGGCCCTTCCAAGTCCATTCCTTCAGTTCAGTGTTCTCAGCGCTCAGATATCCCTCGAGCTCATTCTTCTGGAACTTGCCGCCTTCCCTTCGTACAGGTAGCTTCCATTTCTTGTTTCGCTCGATGATGCGCATCATCTCCGCTTTCTTCCAACTGAGCGTCTCGTACTCAACCCTCAGTACGCGCAAGCCGGGGTTTCCTTCGAAGTAGCGTAGCCACTTTTCTTCCATACTCAGTGGCGAATTGCTTTCCCAGAACCACCAGTCGGAGTATCGTATGGTAATAGTAAGCTGGGTTGGTCGGAATTGAGGTATGCTGAGGATGTAGAATAGTTGATTGCCTTCTTCGAGCCAGAACATCTGCGTGAACAGACGAGCTTTCTGAAGTGACTGCACGGCTTGTGGAGTTAGGTTGCGGAAGAACTTTTCGCACGCTGGAGTGCATGTACGGCCATCAGGTCCACGATCTACGTCGAGATCAGTTCGGAGTAACGTCACAGGCTTCGCATAAATGTACTAAACCAAAAAGCCCATTCCAGCTCTCTGAGGAACACTTTCTGTCCCTCCGCGTACGCGAGCTTGCACGTGCGCAAAAGCGCACTGCTGCCCTTGAGCGGACCTGAGAAACCTGGACGGTACCAATATGAGTCTTCCGGATACGCTGCTGCGCTGTCTTCGTCCTGCATGAGCGCCAATTGGAAGATCTCGTTACGGATCTCGCCAGGTATGACATAGAACAGCGGGCTTTGTGGCTGAAAGTTGGAGGGTGGAGGGATAGGATCAGACGCCATTGGAACAGCGCGAGTTTCGTATCTTGAGATAAATGGTAGATGATCGCGAAAGCTGTGGAGAGGGCGTTGAGAGTTTATGTACCGCAGCTTGGACGTTGCAGTATCGGGCCTAGGCTGATGGCTGCCTGTCTGGTGGCACGGTTGATCAGGTTAGCGGCCTTGCCAAGGCACTCACTGTCCAATGAACGGACACGCTAGCCGTCACAGACCCACCAGGGGTGGTCAAATGAGGCCTCTTCAATACTGTCAAGAGATGCTATGGTGAAGGAACGACAGCAGTAGCCCAAGCCTTAACACAGTAGCAGCCGAGTCAGTAGATCTATAGTAAACTCGACTGTGGTAAAAAGATGCGTAAGGCGCGAACGTGGTGAGTGGAGCTGCAACGGTGATCGAAGGCAAGTGCATGTGTGACCAAAGAGGGGAAATCACACGAAGCAGCTGCACAATCAAATGCGACTAAAATGAACAAGCATTTGGCAACGAGGGCGCTGCTATATCTAGGTACTGAGGATGACTACATTCGAAAGCTGGTAACATCGCTTGTAGGAAAGAGAGATGAACGAATGAACGCGTGCGGAGCTAGCACGTGAGAGTTGTGCTAGTCGTACTCTCCCCTGTTGATCAAATCATTGTCGAAAGTGGAAGGAAGTTGGCACCCTGCATGAATATCCTGTGATGCTTTTGCTTTCCAAAGTTATCTGGCAGTGACCCATTCTGGTGCTGCACTGGCTTTGACAGAGAGCATAGCGCGACCACTAGACAACTTTGCGATATACAGTGAGTGAACTCTGCTCGAGCTTGCGACATCTGCAAATGCAAGTGAGAGAACAGTCAGCTGATAGCGCGTTGGCAGCTTACCCAGTCGAGACTAGGCTTGTTCGCGACTTCCTGCTCTCCAGCACTGAACAGGCTATCGCTCTTTCATCTCACCTGAGATCATTACCCCACGCCTCAGACACGCGCGCCCGTCGAAATGACTGACTTGTGTGGCCTCCCAGACGAGCTCCTGCTCGCAGTCGCCAAATGTCTGCGAGACGACACCAAGAACGGATATAGCGATCTCAATCACCTCGCGTTGAATTGCCGGAAGCTACGACCTATTGCACAAGAAGTCTTCCACACGGATATCTCAATCACTCCAACCCTGAAACGAGGTCTCGCGCGTCTCGCGCGCACTCTCTTGCAGCGACCCGATCTTGCGAGAAGAGTGCTGAAACTAAACATCGAGTTATCCGGCATGCCACTCACGCATCACCGGAACTGCGTATCCGAGGGACACTATTTTGAAGATAGTGAAGTGGAGTGTACCTGCGGTATTCCGTACCTTGGTACTCATTTCATGGGATTTCTGATCGGTGTCAAGTCAAAGGACGGTGTTCCGCTTCGCAACAAGGGCTGGGAAGATATGCTGATGAGAGGCGAAGACACGGCCCTTGTCGGACTAATCTTGTGTGTCACGCCGGCCCTCAGTGATCTCACACTGATGATCTGGGACTCACCGAGGTGTAACGACTTTGACAATAACAACGTTGCTTGGGCCGAATTCGAAAAAGTGTTCGAAAACATCACCAGGCAAAAGGACTTGGCAGATTGTTTCCAGGGTCTCTCTAGCCTGAAGCGGCTTGTCACAGATGGTTACCCACCATGCAGCTGGCTAAGTTTACCACGACTTGAAGCCGCGAGGATCAACCTATTCGAAGACCCTTCCTACAACACGATGATATCGCAAATTACACCTGGTGCAACTGTTTCTACGACCTTGACCCGTCTGGTCATCCAACCGGAATTTGAAGCACTCTACTCATACGATGCCATTTACATGGATGGTTTTTACGGTCATGTGAGAAGCGTTATCCGCGGTCTCACAAACTTGACCCACCTCTTCATTCTGTACCGCGCTATTGTCGATCCATATGGCAGATTCGATCCCCTCAACACTCCGCGAGGATCTTTCGCGCACATTGTCTCGCATCTGGAGAGCCGCAGTTTGACGAATCTGACTCTGGACGTTGAGCCCGCCCTCAAAGATCTGGTCAGGTACATGATCATGTTGGAGTATACTCGCGGTGTATCTCCAATGACCTGGCTTGCTGGATTACCTAAACTTCGCAATCTCAATGCCCCACAGGAAGCTTTCTTCTCTGCGAACGAGGAATTCCGAACTTGTCATCTACCTACCACGATCGAGAGCATCAGTATCATGGATGCGACGTACGAGACCAAGCGCTACCTCAAGCATCTCCTGGATCTCCAAACAGAATGGCCAAACTTGAAGACCATCAAGATTGGGGAGAGTCCGTGCAACGACCAGTCCGTATATCCAGCTGACAGCGATGACGACGCTAGCGACGCAGGAGAGCGGCGGAAAGTCTCCGAACTTGATGACTCAATCTACGAACAGGCTCGGAGCCGTGGTTTGAGGGTGGAGAAGGTGCAGGATAGAACTGCATGGAAGAAGGGATGGGAAGGTCTGGGTTTGTGAAGAGAGTATGTGAGAGCGGGGACGAGTTAGTCAGCAGACAATTGTGCGCACGTCCGGACTGGAATGACAGAGAACGAAACCTAAGCAGACACTGCAATGCAAATAACGACATGAGCTAGCAAATATTCATAGGAAATATTTTACGGCTTTAGTGAACGACAAAGTAGATGACACATTGGACAGGTGTATTGTGACACTTCAAGAAGCGCGATGTGTACATGTCTTCAAGATAAGCCACTAGCCCCAAGACGATTGAGCACAGCAACGCACACTTGTCATAGCTTCGGCTAAACTACGCGCAATCGGCTGAGCTCTGGGCAGCTGGGTAAACTCCGGGGGTCGCTGAGCGGGCGTTGCCTATGCTGAGACTACACGCCATCGCAAGTGGTCGCAGAGTAAGTATGGAAGCCATCATTTGACTTGAAAACTCTTGCACCGGTGTCATATCGCAGGAGTCTCTTCTCTAGTGTTATGGGTCTGAAGTGGTTGCCTGAAGTTCTGAGCAATATAATGACATATCCAGGAACAACATGAGGTGCGGCGAGAACCTCCGGGCTGCAAAATTGGGTCTCGGTTTTTGGTCAAAGGTTTTCGCGAGATAACGATATGTCCAGAGACACCATATGGTGCGGCGCGTACTTCTGGGCTGCAAAATCGGGTCTCGATTGTTGGTCGAACGCTTGCGCGATGCAATTCTATGTGATGCGGCGAGTACCTCCGGCTGTGAATGCGGGTATCGGTTCTTGGACGAAGGCTTTTGCGATATAATCATGTATCCAGAGACACCTAATGGCGCGGCGAGTACCACCGGGCTGTAATGTTGGGTCTCGATTCTTGGTCAATGCGCTGATTGTATTCGTTATGTCGTGCCATAGGGTAGCTCTATGACTCTTGTGACGTGATAATATGCTCGTTGGATGCTTTGAGTGGAGCAAAGACACAAGCGACCTTATGACTTTTCGCCGTCGAGTAGTGCGGTACTCGAGTTAGCGCGCTTTGAGTCTGAATAAAAGGCAGCCCATTCCCCCCTCTCTCTCTCATCAGAACTATCCTCTCATACCATTTTACCATACCTGTCCGAACTCGCTTCAGACAAAATCAGTACGCGTACCAGTACGCCAGACAAACCATTACTACATCACTACCAATACCATCGCCATGTCTACCTTTACGCTCTTCCCAAAACTACCCAAAGAGCTCCGCGACGCCGTCTGGCAAGCGAGCATGGCCACAACAGCAACCGTCGAATTCGACGAAGACGAATACATGGTCACAAGCATTTCGTCACCAGCCGCCCTCTTCACCACATCAAAGGAGGCGCAGGCCACAGCGTCGTCCTCCTCTCACCAAAAATTCCCCATCTGGGGCCCAGAAGACTGGGAAGATCTGGCCATAGATCCTGAGAACACGATCCTCGAGATCGTCATCAGACCATCAAAGTCCGCCACCCTCAACATCACATGGACAGACATCTGGGGTGTGCTTGGCGACGCACTACCAGCCACAAAACGCCTTCACATCGCCTGCACCCAGCCTGAGCGCCTGGCCAGGCTGTACATGGCAGAGGAGGCAGAATACCTTGGCGTCGGCCAATCCTGCGTCGAAGCGGGATTGTTCAACAATGCCGAAACCGTTTCGGGTGAGCGAAAAACCCGACAATCACTACACACACACCTCACGGTCACTGCTAGCAAGCATACCGTTGAAGAAATCGACCAGAACGCCTCTGAAAAAGAGGTTACCGTCTGGAAGATGACCAAACACACTTTTTCGGAGTTTGGGCCTGAGGCCAAAGTTTCCGCCAGCAAGGGGCTAGCGCGCTTAGAGGTCGACAATGCCTGTAAGATGTCCGTAAAGCAGCTTCACGACGCTGCGAGGACCTTCGCGCTTCCCGCTGAGGAGAGAGAGGGGGAGGTGTCAGGGGTCGAGGAAGAGGTGGAGGAGAAGTCGGAGGCGGAGCTGACGGAGGATGCTATCGCAAAGCATCTGGAGTGTCAGGGGCTGTGGCCGCCTAAGGCAAAGGATTTCGACTGGGATCCAGAGGGCAGCGTCGCGAGCGGGGATGACGAGGCCGTTTGGAAGTGGCTGTAGTCGCTTCGCCGGACTTTCGTGTTTGTTTTGGCAGCGGAGAGATGCGATGTCTGCTCCTGGCTGAGGTTTGGCGTTTCGGTTTGCGCTGGTTTTCGACGCGAGTTACTCCCGGCACCATCATTCGCCGCACTTGCGTTCAGTTTAGTAATAAAGTCGTCCTCAAAATACTTCGTCTTCTGCTACTGTGAATGCATTCCTGCCTACACTATTGGGTTGTAATACCCAAACCTGTTCTTCGGATCCCACTCACCCTTCAACTTGACCAACTTAGCGAGCCTAGCATCGTACCCATACATCTCAGGCCTATTCTCTTCTCCGTTAGCGTAATTAACATAGCAGTGTCGCTTCCTGTTGCTTTTGTCCACGCCCATGTATAGCGCATTGCGTACCGCACGTTGGTATGCATATGCATCCCTGGTCGTCTGCGCATCGTCGCCGGTCCACCACAAAACCGGCGAAGCGAGAACAGGATACTCGCGTTCCTCGGGCGCCAATGCAGTGGAAGCTGTATCAACAGCCCGTACGCCTTGCATGCCGTAGTTTTCCAGTAGGGTGACAGATGTATTGAAGCGAGGATCGGCCGTGAGGTTCCCAAATATCGTGAATGCTTCTCGGACACCCTGAAGATCCCAGGCGGGTAGAGAAACTCCGGCTCCTGCGATGTTCTCGTTGCGCCAGCAGGTTTGACTTCCGAGGTTGTTGCCGGTGACCGTGTATAGCTCTACGTAGTTGACGTTCGTCGAAAGTGTAGTAGATACAGGACCGATCGCTATAAAACGCGCGGCGTAAGGTTTAGCTTCTGCTTCCGTACCCTCGTATGCGATAGTGTATGCTACGACAGGCTAGTGAAGGGTCAGTATCTGGCACACATGTTGCCGGGCTCTGCTTACATTGACAGGATCGACGGCAGGTATCCTCGCGAACACTCCTGTAAGCGCCAGCTTTGTCGGGCGTTCTATAGTCGGCTCTTCAAATTCGTTGATCAAGCTGAACAGCGCCTCGATTTTGTCGGTGGTAAAGACGAGTGAGTAGACGGTCCAGTTGGAAGGGATGTCGTAGGTCTTCACTTGAAGGGCTGTGACAATGCCAAAGTTATGACCTGCTCCCTGCAGGGCCCAAAACAGGTCGGCATTATTTGTCCGAGAGGCTTCCATAACTTTACCGCTGGCAAGTACTACGCGTGCGGAGACCAGACCGTCGAGAGAGTAGCCGTGTTGACCTTGGAGTAGACTGTGGCCGCCACCTAACAGTGGCCCGGCTACTGACACACATTCTGCAAGTCCTGTGACTGATGAGAGGAACGGTAAGTGGCTGGATGTCTGCAGAGACTGGGTCAAACTCACCAGCATACTTGCCCGAGGCGAACAGAGAGCGGGTGATCTCGTGTTGCATCGTTCCGCCTCCGACGACAGCAGTCTTGCCATCCCGACTGAGTGTCGTAGTATTAAGCTTCCGCATGTTGATCTGGATACCGAACGGCAGTCTGTTGAGCGTATTGGTCCACCCATGACCCCCTGTAACGGCCAAGAATGGAATATCGAAACGATTGGCCAATGCCACGGTGGTTTGCACGTCTGCCTCTGTTGCTACTTCGACCACGACATTGTAATCGGGAGATACGCGCGGGGACGAGCCGCGGACTTGGAGGTCTTCCCAACGAGCATCCCATGGAAACGTGATAGTGGCGCTTTTCGATAATCGCGTGTTCAACGTAGACACTGCGAGTCTCAGGTCGTCTATCCCAGATGCAGATGAGCCATGGATGGCGCATAGCAGCCAAGCAAAAACAGTCGGAAACAGCATAGTGATCGTTTCTTCGAGCGAGCGCTCGAGTGGAGGGTGCGAGGCGGAGAGACGAAGACTGGGGAGGTAGCAAGCACGAGGCGTGCGCGTTGGACCATGCAGTCACTTAACCCTCATGAGGTACTGGCCGTGGAGCAGATCCATGTTGCCTTTGCTGTGCCGCAGATGTCAGCAAGTTGAACGCGGACTTTAGCCCATCGGCTGCACATGTCGCTACGCTACTGCGTCGCTCATTCGACGCGCTGAGTTGAAGGATGCAGAATCACACGGCAGAGCGCCGTAGCGGCGGGGAAGTCGCTTGGGAATAACGTTGCTTCCATACAAGCACGTCGTTGGGGCTGTTTGGTGGAATTAGTGTAGTTATTCGTTTGGTCGAGTCTGTCGTACGCTTTCGTGCCTGGCCTGAGGAGCAGGAAGGGATGGGCGACAGCGCGTCGAGCAGGAGAGGGTTCGCGTACGCGAAGGCGCTGCCAAGGCGGCCCGGGACGGCACTCTCTTCCCTCCGCTGACTCGTCGGCCACACCCGCCACTTCGATACCCCACGACATTTCCGCTACACCAACTCATGCGTTATTCGAAGGTCGTCACGATGCTGAACAGCGCGCAATCAGCACGACAATACGCGTCACCTCGTTGTATCTGCCAAAACCGTCTGTGCCGCATCATCCCATTCTCAACCGAGATTGGACAACAAAATCTCCAGGCGAGAACGCCACGCCGCAACTCCAAAAGGAGAAACTCCCACGCATGGTGTCTACCGATCGTCACTGGCTCCATGCATATCTACCGAAAGGATGTGTTGCTCAAGTGTTGTATTATTGACTGTTATTGTCTACGCCCCAATGATCATCATGCTTGACCAGTGCCAGCCTCCGGGATAAGCTTTCAAGCATCGCATCAAGAGTCCCTCATTCAGCACTCACCATCTTACTCCGCACTCACTCAGCGTCCTATACTAACTTCTACTTGATGACATCCGCGCAGCAGACCTTGGTAGAAGGGCCTTTGAGCTCGAAACTCGATGTAGTCGTGTTCATAGCTCTCACGGGGATGACATGGTAAGTGAGCAAGCTATTCTTGTGCGCGTGATACACACTTACCCTGATAGGTTTAATGGTGCTGAGCTTCTAGTCACCATTTTCCTCACGTTCAAGCGCTGGTCCGGTAAGTACTTCTACTGCTTGCTCGTAGCAACTCTGGGAGTACTTGTCTATCAAATCAACGTCTTTCTCATGATCTTCGCTCCATACCTAAATGCTTACGGGGTGATCGCAAGCATCGGGCTTGGGTGGAGTGCAATGGTCACAGGCCAATCGTTGGTACTTTGGTCACGGCTGCACCTTGTGTGTCGCAGTGTTTGGAAGCTGCGTCTCATTTTATGCATGATCATTGTCAATGGCTTATGCATGCATGGGCCTCAGTTCGTTTTTTCGCTTTTGGTGAGTCCGGCAGATGACAAGAAGACGTCGTGCTTACTGGATCCACAGGCAGTGAAGAATAACGCAATCGACCCGTCTTACAAGCCGTTCGTAATAATGGAACGGATATCTGTTGACGTTCTCACTACCCAGGAGATCATCATATCTGTGGTGTACTTGGTGGCGGCAGTGCGCATATGCCGGATGGGAGAGACCCTTCAGAGAAAAGGATGCCGTCGAAAAGTTCGATTACTTTTCCTGGCCAATGTCTTCATCATCTTCATTGATGTTTGCACCATAACCCTGGAATATATGGCGCTTTGGGGTGTCTGGTGTAGCTTCAAAGGCTTTGGTTACAGCGTAAAGTTGAAGGTCGAGTTTGCTATCCTTAGTCAGCTATGCGACTCAGTCAAGAGTCTCGATGAACAGAGTTACGATCTACATCTTCCGTCAAAGACTGCGGGCGTATCTCGGCAAGGCCTAACGGAGTGTGATGCGCAGGGCCAAGAAGATTGATAGTTATTCAACTACTGTTAAACCACCGTTCCAAGCCAGCGATTAACAACTTCCGCACATTCCTCAGGTGCCTCCTCTGCCCCAAAATGCCCAACCCCATCACCCAACCCATGATTCTCGATCTTGACACCCTCACCAACCCATTCCTTCCACACCTCCGGAAAGTCAAACCTGCTCCCAATACTCGCCGCACTATACACCAACAACAACGGCACTTCAATCTTCCTCCCCTCTTTCTGGTTCTTCTCCTCCCTTTCAACATCCGTCGTAGCACCTTCCTTGTAGTCTTCGCAAGTAGCTTTCAGCGTATGTTCCTGATTGAAGAAATCGCCATAGACGGTTAACGAATCGTTAGCCTTCAGTTTCTCGATACCAACATTGCTGTTTCCTGACCAACGTAGGATCATCTCTTGACACCATTTAGATGGGCCGAAAGCAGTGATCATACGCGTTGCTAGATCGACGTTTGCGAGCAGCGGCCAGTGAAAGTAGCCTGTTATCTCCTTTGCTGCGGTGGCTGGGGAGGTGAAGTGCTGCCATTGCGTTGAAGTCGGGACCTATCAAATTAGCATAAATCCGTTCGAGCATATGTGAGAAGGTAAACTTACAATATCGATCAAACAAACACCCAAGATCTTCACTCCATTGACCCCGCTGACAGTGAGGTGATGGGCAACTCTCGCTCCACGATCATGGCCAATGAGTATGACCTTCACATTCCCATCTGCACTCTTACTCTTCTTGACCTCCGTCTTCAACGCCTCGAGTACTGCCGTTCCAATGCTCACTTTATCATTCCGCTCAATCGGTGCACTAGCGCCGTAGCCAGGTAGATCCGGAACGAAGAGCGGTGCCTTGGATGGGAGAAGAGGGATGATGTGGCGCCACCTAGCCTTTTGTCAGATCATCTGATGTATGAAGTGCAGTGATAGGAATGAGAGGAAGTTACATGTAAGCCGATTGCGGATATCCATGAATGAGAACGAGTATGGGGTTGTCGTCGCTGGCGTTCTCCAGCGAGCGTGTGTAGCAGCAGACTTTCTCCTTGTTCAAAGTGGACTTTGAGAGACCGAGATCGTTGAACTTGGTGTCTTGGATGTGGAGGGCGGATCTAGATGCCATGTTTGCGATCTAGGCGGCTCAGATTGGAATATCGCTGCTGGGGAGTATAACGGTGCAGCTTGGAAGTATCTGAAGGTTGCAAATCGGATAGTAAAGTATGTTGTTTGATCTCGGTCAAATGTCATTCTTTGCGCCCTTTCGTCCTGTGGACTACATTGGGGTAACTATTAGACCGAGGTATGACGCAATCACGCGAAGTCACGTGTATCAACGTTCGAAAAGCATCGGTTTCGGTGCAAGCACTTGTTGCTGGAAAGGCAGGATGATGGAGTCAAATATCCCATATCTTTTGAACTACAATCAACACCCACGGATGCAACGTATAGTACCGCAGGTCCTCTACCCCAATACCAAGAACGCCAACGCTATGCAAAAAATATACTGAACCCTTCTTTTGAATTATCATTGCTCTCTCGCCAAGATCATCTTCTCACGTTCTGCCTTTCTCCGGACTGTGCCCTTCTTCGTATGCCTCCTCTCGTTCTCTTCCTTCCTCTTGACAGCCTTGAGCTCCTCGTTCTTGATCTCACCCGCCTTCTTGACAGTCTTGGGCAGATGCCTGTGTTTCTCGATGCGCTTGATCTCTGGCATATGCTTGTATCGTTCCTTCAGAGCTGCGTCATACTCCAGCTTCTGTTTTAGGGCGAATGACTTGACGCCCTGCCTCTCGGAAGCTCTAGCTCTCCATAGGCGGACATTGCCGTCATCTGATCCGCTGAGTACGTAGTTATTGTCGGGGCTCCATGCGACGGAGAAGACACGCTGCATTCGCTTGGTGTGGTAGACGTCCCGAGCGTGACCCTTTGATCGCTCCCAAATTCTTATGGATCGGTCGTAGGAACCGGTGATGAGCTCCTCTCCCGTTGGAGAGAACTCAATCGACATGACAGCGGCGACATGTCCTTTCTACTTGGCGTTAGTAATGAGTCTGGCCCGACCCCCAGACGGGAGACTTACCAAGACTTGCAGCGCACGCTTCATGTTGCGCATGTCGAAAATGTATCCGTTGTGGTCTTCCGAAGCAACGGCGAAGTTGTAGGCTTCCATAGGATTCCAGGAGATGCAGTTCGCGGGGAAGTTGAGCACAGTGCGGTGTAGGGGTGAGTTCGTGCGGGCGTCGTAGAGGATGACCGCGCGGTCGGTTGCACATGATGCGAGTATCGAGGTTTCGACCTGGTTAAACTTGACGTCCGTGATGGTGTCAATGGCCTAATGATTATTAGTATATGCCTTAGGTCTGCTCTGCATGAAAGACCTACCGATGGCCACACGAGGTTGGAAACAGGGGCACCAGATGTCCTCGATGTGTCGTATATGGAGATGGAGCTGGATCCAGCAGCAAAGGTCGGTAGCGAGCGATGGTGCGAGACAGAGGTGAAGGCTGAGTTGCCGTGCCATGTTGCTTTTGGCGCCGATTTCGAGGCTTGCGCATATGGCTCGAACAGCTGAATCTGGCGATCTGATCCACAGGTTATGAGTTTCTTGTCCCGCGTCCAGCACATGCCCTTGACGAGGTTCTCATGCGCCTGCGCCTGCCACTTCTCCTCCCTGCTGGTAAAGTCCCAGACCTTGACGATGCCGTCGCCACTGCCACTAGCG